GGATTCAGTGCCTGTTTGAATTACACAATCTGCACTTGAACTGGAGAGGTACTGGTCTCCTAATTAAAATATTGGGCCACATTCTCTGCCCTTCTCTGTCCCCTTTGTGTTACTCTAGAGATGTAAAGAGTCAGAGATTGTTTTTATCTCCCCTGCTCAGGATTTCTCCAGTGTGGGGTAGGAACAGGGAGTTCCCAGCAGGTGTAGAGCTGGCACTCAGCTCCTATACTACCCCTCCTTTTGGTCCCAACATAGGGGATGAAGTGGATCTGTGGCCACAGCATTGTGCTTCCCAGCTGGAGGATGGTCATGGAGGATCATTGCCAGTTAAAATAATTTAGAGCAGCCCCAGTGCTGCTCCAAATTTTGCTGAGGCTGGTGCAGAAATGGCCAGAATGTCAGGTAGCCATAATTGGCTAACGCCCCCCCACCACACACATACTCATCCCTCTGCTGCACCAAACTGTCACAACAGAGAATCTGGGCTTTTATTACATTGGCTATGGCTGCACTTCTAGCTGGGAGTGTAATTCCCTACATGGCTCTCTACACTCCCAAGCGGTGCCTCCCATATCTACACTGCTATTTTTTAGCAGTGTAGCATCTTGCTGCCTCCCTATTGCCACAGCCTTTCCTCACGACAGCAAAGGGGTCAGCCGAAGCCTTTCTCTGGTGAGTGTCCCTGCCGTATGCAGCTACAAATGTGGATGCAGCTACAAATGTGGATGCAGCCTGCCTTTCACTGCAGCATGTAGTTACACGTGTAGTGCCTGTACTCTACATGTCCCCATAAGTGTAGACACAGCCCTAGTGAGTTTCAGTAACATCACCTTACATATCGCCTCTAAATTTGATCCACTAAATGGAGATGAGCCAGGTCTAATAAACAAGGCAGAAGCTGAAGATCAGTAAGGATCAGATTATATCAGGATTGAAATGTAAAGGAGGGTCTGCAGAAAGGTCAGTCACACACATTGGACTTAAAGAAAGCAGATGTTTAAGGAATGCAAAGTGAGCTACAGAAAATTGGATGGAATTTCATGCCTGCAAGAAACATGAAGTGCAGAAGAGGGAAGTGTTTACGATCCAGCTGGGGAAGATGAAATCAAAATCCAACCCAGTCAAACAAAACAAAAACCTAACAAGGGACTAGAGGCTTAAGTGGCCAAGTAGGGAGGTAAAGACCAGCATGGAAGAGACAGAGGGCATTTCAACATATGATGAAGCTGGGCGAGTTACAAAGAGACATCATGATAGCCAAACAATTGAGGAAATACATTATGCCCAATTCACCCTGGTGCAACTGTATGGATTTTAGTGGAGTCATGCCAGGAATGAATTTAGCCCTTAATGTTAAACAAGCTCTTGTTTAACATGGCTGCTACTCTGAAAGCTCTTGTCTGAGTGTTTCCCATTTTCATTTATTTCTCAGAGCTCTAGGCATTTGCATAACTTAGAAAATATCTAGTCACGAAAGGGTCAGATTTACAAAGGGATTTAGGTGCCTGAAGATGCAGCAAGGCATCTAGTGAGATTTAGAGAAGTGTCCAAGTCCCATAGATATCAATGGGAGTAAAGCACCTGCTTAGGTGCTTTTGAGTATCACACTAGGTACCGATCTGCATCTTTAGGCATCTAGATGTCCTTGAAAATCTGGCCCAAAGGGCATAAAAACGTACAAAGCCCCAACCCACTGAGCTAAGCCACAGAATATAGAAACAATCAATTATCTTCTCCCTCTACATCTCAACACCAAGTCCTCTCCCCTTTCCTCAAAAGCCAGAGGAAACAGATGGGCTCTACAGTGCGTCCTGAATGGTGAGAGTTTCAGGTTTATTTGGAATTAAGCCAAGAATGAGTTCCAAAGTCCCGGGCCTTATGTAGAAAATACCTAGCTGCAGCCATCTCCCTGTTAGAGGCACCTCTGCTGAGGCCAATATCAATCATAGGGAGAGGGGACCTCCCACGTAGATAGGACACTAAGCATTTAAGACCCATAAACAGAACTCCACCAGGAAATCAACTGGCAGACAGTGCTCATGGAGATGCTACACTTCACAAGCAAGCAGCCATGTTAGTCCAAGTCTCTGAAGTCTTAAGGTGTAGCCCCATGTAGAGCACATCAGGTTCAGATAAGACATGCATGGATGTCATGGGCATACGAAAGGCACCACAATCCATGGCTTCTCACTACAACTCCCAACCTAGGAGCCTGCAGTGCCCTCAGACAATAATAAAACTTGGCCCTTCCATAGCAGTTTTCACCCAGGGACGTGAAAGTGCTGAACAAACATTAATTAAGCCTCAACACCCTGAGAAGGAGATGAGCCTTATCCTTCTTGTGCAGATGGAAACATTGAGGCAGAGTGGTTAAATAACTTTCCCAAGTCAACACAGCAAGTCAGTAGTAGAGCTGGAAGTAGAAGAGGAGGTTACTCACCTGTGCAGTAACTGACGTTCTTTGAGATGGGTGTCCCATCTCACTCCAGGTGCTGGTGCATCCCTGCGCCTTCGCTCAGAGATTTGTACAGAAGTACCCACACGGGCCACATGCACACAGTGCCTGCCTCATGCACTGCTGGTGCCTTAACAGCGTGTGTGCGGCCGTGATTCCTTAGTTCCTTCTCTACAATGGAGACACTCCAAACTCTGAAGTAGAGGGGAGAAGGGTGGGTAGTGGACAGGTAAGTAACCTCGGAGAGAGAGAGAGATGTCCCTGTGGGTACTCCACTCCAGGTGACTGACAAGCAGTATCACTACGATGGCAGGGACTTCGAATCTGGTAAGAAAGCCGTGGACAGCACAGTTCTGGCCATTCGAGTGTCAGTCAAGGGTCCCTGAGTAAGGGCGTAGTGTTTGGCAAAGGTGTGCTCTGAAGCCCAGAGGTGGCAGCCTTGCAGATATCTATGAGGGGAATGTTACATAGGAATACAACAGACATTGACACAGATCTGGTAGAGTGTGCCTTAATAGAAGTTGGAGGATGTATCTTCTTTAATTGGTAGCATAAACAGATGCAGTCTGATATCCAGTTGGATATTCTCTGGGTGGATATCGATTTGCCCTTAGATCTCTCTGCAATTAAAATAAAAAGTTTAGGGGAAGCCCTGAATGGCCTAGTCCTAGCCAAATAAAAAAGACAATACTCTGCGCACATCAAGTGTGTGCATTGCTGTTTCAAAAGAGTTTGCATGCAGTTTAGGAAAGAAGATTGGTAGATGGATAGGTTCATTACGGCAGAAGGATGAATGTACCTTTGGGAGAAATTTGGAATGCGTTCAGAGTGTGCCTTTATCCTTAAAAAAAGATAGTGTAGGGTGGGTCAGCCATGAGAATTCCAAGTTGTCCTACACATCTGGCAGATGTAATTACCACTAAGAATGCAGCTTTCAGAGATAGGTGTAGTTGACAGCAGGATGCTAGTGGTTCAAATGGCTATTGTGTCAAACATGTGAGGACCAAGTGGAGGTCCCAGGGTTGAGTAGGTAGTCTGATGTCCGGGTACAGGGTCTGGATGCCTTTGAAGAATCTTTTTGTGATAGTGTGGGTGAAGATACTGGTGTCACTGATCTTCTGGTGAAATGCTGTGATTACTGCCAGATGTACCTTTATGGTACTGAAGGAGAGCCCAGATTGTTTGAGCTCCAGAAGGTAGTCCAGTATGACTGGAAGAGGTGAGGAAGTAGGAGCGGATTGCCTGGCAGAATACCACGCTATGAACCCAGACCATTTATGGATATAGGTGATGCGTGTAGATTGTGTCCTACTATGTAATAGTACAGTTTGCACCTGCTCGGAGCAGCCTAGTTCTTCGTAGGAGAACCATTGAGGAGCCATGATCTGAGGTGGAGCATTCCTATGTTTGGGTGGTGTAGATGGCCCCTGCATTGGGACAATAAGTTCAGAAGCGGGGGGAAGGGAGATTGGTGGACAAGTGGACATTGCGTTAGAAGTGGGTACCACAGCTGTCTGGGCCATGTAGGGGCTATCAATATGATCCTGGCCCTCTCTGTCCATATCTTTAATACTACGTTGGTATTGGTGGGAATGCGTATAGTAGGTTGTCATTCCATCTGATCGTAAACACATCACCCATGGAATGTTTCCCCAGACCCACTCTGGAGCAGAATTGGAGGCATTTCTTGTTGGTCACGGTTGCAAAGAGATCCAGTTGTGGATAACCCCAGGTTTTGAAGATGTTGTGTAGGATGGTGTTGTTTATTTCCCATTCATGGTTGAGTGGGAAGGATCAGCTGAGCTTGTCCGCTGTGGTGTTTTGTGCACCGGGCAGGTACAAGGCGGAGATATCAATATTGTGTTGGAGGCACCAATTCCAAAGTTTCATAGCCTCGGTGCAAAGTGAATGGGATCGGGCTCCCCCTTGCCTGTTTTATATAAAACATAGAAGCAGTGTTGTTGGTCATGATCCTGATCTTTTGGTTCCTGATGAGTGGGAGAAAGTGGAAGCAGGTGTTGCGGACCACTCAGAACTCTAGAAGATTTATATGTAGTGAGATCTCTGTAGAAGATCATAGTTCTTAAGCGGTATGGTGTCCCATGTGTGCCCCCCAACCAGTGAGTGATGCATCTGTAGTGATTATAATTGAAGGGGATTCCTGTAAAAATGGGACCCCAGAACAGAGGTTGTATGGTCGAGTCCACCATATGAGTGAGTCCTTGATATTGGTAGGCATGGTGAGAAGCTTGTGTAGTCTGTGTACATTTGGTTTGTAGACTGTGGCTAGCCAACCATGCAGGCATCGCAAGTACAGGCATGCGTTCTTGACCACAAAAGTGGATGTGGCCATGTGGCCTAGAAGTTGTAGGCAGTCATGAGCTGTGACCTGTGGGCTGTTCTGTAGTTTGGCAACCAGATTGTTTATGGTGATGAATTTGTCAATTGGAAGAGATGCGAGGCCAGTTGTGGAGTCGAGATGTGCACCTATGAACTCCAGATGTAGAGTAGGGTTTAATGTGGATTTGTTTGTGTTTATTTGCAGGCCACCACCCTGAAGGCAGTCAATGGTCATGTGTGTGGATCGGATGGCTTCCTCACGAGTTTGCAATTTGAGGAGGCAATTGTTCAGGTAAGGGAAGATTATTATTTCTTTTTTCCTGAGATGTGTGGTAACCACCACGAGGATCTTGGAGAAGACACAGGGTGCTGTTGAGAGGCCAAAGGGTAGAACCCTGTATTGGTAGTGGTTTGTTCCCAGAACAAATCTAAGAAAACGTCTGTGGGCAGGGTGTATAGTTACGTGAAAATAAGCATCCTGCAGGTCGAGAGCTGAAAACCAATCTCCCTGCTCCAGCGCTGGAATAATGGTCATTAGGATAACTATTTTGAATTTTTGCTTTTTGATGAACTTGTTGAGTTGCCTGAGGTCGAGAATGGGTCGCCATCCCCCACTTTCCTTTCCGTAAAAAAATAATGGGAGTAAAAACACTTTCCCCTCTGCTGATTGGGTACCCACTCCACTGCTCCTATTTGCAGAAGAAGTTGTACCTCTTGGTGGAGCAAGTATTCATGAGAGGGGTCCCTGAAGAGGGACGGGGAGGGGAGGTGGGTGGGGGGGTATGGACACAAAAGGGATGGTATAGTCTCTAGGACCCATCTGTCTGTAGTGATGGCTCGCCAATTGTTATAAAATGGGAGCAAACGGTGACCAAAGGGTTGAGTAATTAGTGTGAGTGCAGGAGTGGGTGGGAGGTCTTCTATGTCCTCGACCAGGGCTTCAAATCTGTTTGTTAGGTGGAGGAGTTTGGGATGCTGCTGATTGTGGGGGGAGGCGGCGTTGAGGCCTAGGTCTCTGGCATTGATGCTGTTGCTGATCGTATGGCCATTGTTCTTGTTGTTGTTGTGTGTATGCCGGGTATCGCAGGCATTGGTAAGGCTGATACCTATATTATCTCTTTCTAGAGGCTGGTGTATGGATGCCTAGTGATCTCAGCATAGCCCTGGAATCCTTCATGGTGTGCAGAACCTCATTCGTCTTTGCTGCAAATAATTTCTCATCATCGAAGGGGAGATCCTCCACGGTGTTCTGTATCTCACGTGGGAAAGACGAAGAGTTGAACCATGAAGCCCAATGCATAACAACAGCTGTAGCGGTGGACCTGGCTGCGGTGTCCGCAGCATGAAGGGCAGCCTGGAGTAACGTGCGGGAAATTATTTGTCCTTCAGAGACCACTGCCTTAAATTGCGGTCTCTTTTCTTCTGGAATAGTTAATAAATTCCATTAATTGCCCGTAATTTCTATGGTCATATTTGGCTAGGAGGGTGGCAAACTATGCCACACCAAATTGCAGTGTGGAAGTTGCATAAACCTTGCAGCCAAATAAATCCATTCTTTCACTGTCCCTGTCAGGAGTAGTAGACCGGAAATGCTGCTGCTTGTTTCTTTGGTTTGCCGCTTCCACTACCAGTGAGTTTGGTGCTGGATGTGTGAAAAGAAATGCTGAGCCCTTGGAGGGAACATAGTATTGCTGATCTGCCCTCTTGCAGGTCGGGGGTATAGTGGCTGGAGTTTGCCAGATATTCTTGGCCGGGTCCATGACAGCTCCATTGATTGGGAGGGCAATCTTGGAGGAGGCCGCAGGTTGCAAGATGTCTGTCACTTCATGTTGAGTCTCTGACACCTCCTCCATAGTGATCTTGAGTTCACTAGCCACCCTTTTAAATAGGTCTTAAGAAGGGGTAAAAGAAAATAAAACTTGTCTGACTAAAATACTATACTAACTGTACTAACAAATGAAGTATGCGAAAGCTAAAAAATGTTGAGCAGGACTGCTGAGCTCCATCTCAGGCCGGGGCAGTAGAGAAGGAACTGAGGAGTCACGGCCATGCAAGTGCTGTTAAGGCACCAGCAGCGCGTGCACAGCCCGTGCGGGTACTGCTGTACAAATCTGAGCGAAGATGTGGGGACGCACCAGCACCTGGGAGTGGAGCACCCACAGAGACATCTCTCGAAGAAGAATCCAGGATTCATGACTTTTGACTAAAGTTGGTTGAGAATTTTCTGTCTGAATGATTTTCTGTCAGAAAAATGCAGTTTCTGCAAACTTTTGATGAAATATTTTGATTTTTCTTTTGGGCAAATTAAAAATAAATATTTTGTTTTGTGGCAATTTGAACCAAATCAGAATATTTTGTTCTCTGAAACTGACCCAAAAGGTTTAGTTTCTAATCTATTTTCCTATAAGCACATTGCCTTATGGGAGTTGTAGTTAAGGCCCTCATTCTCTAACCAAGCTGCTTGGTGCATCATGGGAGATGTAGTCCAGCCAGGGAGCCTGACCCTTAGGGAGAATCAGAATCTTGAACTATACTCCATAGGCATCGACTCCGTGGGTGCTCCAGGGCATGCTTGCGGTTCGGGGTGGAATTAGGTGGGAGGAGGCAGGCAGGGTTGGAGCAGGGACAAGAAGAGGCAGGCGGCGGGGGGGAGGCTTGGGAGAAGGGGTGGTGTGGGGGCAGGGCCTGGGGCAGAGCAGGGTGTTGAGCACCCCCCGGCCCGGAGGAAACCGGCACCTGTTATACTCCCATGAGACAATGCACCACAATGGGAAAATGCTGCTTTTAACGTTGAACAGACTTAAAATAAAGAATCTTGGCTCAGTTCAACAAACTGAAATGAAACATTTAAATTTCAGAAATGTCTAAACGTTTCATTTTGTTTTGAGCAAAATGAAATATTTTGGAATTTCTGTTTTATGTAAAATTTCAATGTTTCATCCCAATTTGGGACAAAAACCAAATGCTAGAATTTCCACCAGGACAAAAATTATGAATTTTGCTCCACTTTGCTGACCCATACTTTAACCCACTAGGCCACTCACCCTGCATTTATTTCACAATTGTTTCCATTCCAGGTTTTACCCACTTATTGATGACCAACTGATCATGGAATTTGATAGCCTATTTTGACTTGATCTTAATTTCCTTCTGTATTATTTCTTCCATCCATGAAATGAGTTTTATTATGTATATTTTTGTTTTTAACCCCCACCAAGCCCCTGTGTGAAAAGAAGCAGATGATTTCATTTTATCATTCTTTCTCTCTCTAGTCAGTAAATTAGCTTGGACATTTCCTGAGCACCTCCAGGTGAAGTACCACTCGGGTTTGCCATCAGCAACCAACAAGAGAAGAGGGGCAAGCAATGAGCAGGAGTTGCTGCTGAGCACTACTCCCTCTCATGCTGCTAATTGTGGTTACTAGAGACAGACAGCTGTGCTAGGAGCTGTGTGGGGCAGCTGCAGGAACAGGCAGAGGGAGGGATGGGCAGGGAGTGGAGTTTGCTCACTGTAAGGGGGTCTGGGGAGAAAAGAGAGCACGGGAGGGAGAAAACTGGAGGGAGCTGGGAAGGTCGGCAGGACAAAGGGATGTCCGGATGGTAAACCTTGGTCATGCTAAGGCAGAGGCATGGCCATGGCCCACCCACTTAGCATCCAGGCCCACCCAAAGTTGGGGCAGAGCCTCCCAATCCACTGGCTGGGGACTCCTGATCCTAGCTCAGTGTCCAGCTGTGTCCCTCTCCTGCTGGTCCCGTGTGTTGATGCCATGGTCTCCCGCCCCAGCTAGGGGTGTGGCTCAGGGGAGTGGGTCTGGTTCCGGGTCCATAGCGGATTAGCCACTGGCCCTGGGCCAACGGGGTCACCCCGATCCGCTCCTCCTGCCCGGCGCTCCTGCCAGGGAGCGGGTCAGGGCATGGGAAGAACACTGGGCAGGTGGAGTGGGGCAAGCCCTGTGCCTCAATCATGCTCCCTAGCAGGAGCGCCAGGTGGGGGAAGTGGGGCAAGCCCCCATGCCTGGACCTCACTTCCCCAGCAGAAGGGGGGCTGCGGAAGGGACCCCCAGTTGTCATAGCCCAGCCAGGTCTCCACAAAACCTATTTTGCATCTGTCATTGCCCGCCCACCTGAAAGCTAGGACCACCCAGTTTTCCTGTTGTAGCTATGCCACTATGCTAAGGAGATGTTTGTTTCTTTGTTCTTGGGGGGGGGGGTTACACTTATTTGAATCTGACTATGCTTCAAATTGTCAAGGTCAGAAAAGTCCAATGGCCAGACACTTGAGGCAGCATTCAGCCCCTCCCTCCCTCTCCCCCCGCCCCCAGAGAATCAAGGGCCTGCTACCATCACCTGATCCCCTCTAGCCTGTGTCTATGATGCTGAAGGACCAGCATTCTAGTCCCAGCAGCTCTCCTCCCAACTATGTATGGTAAGTCTCACACCACCTTGACAACCATGTCAACCAACACATTCTCTCTTTCCTTGCTAGACTTCAAGTGCATTATACAGTATGCCATACACAACGTATTATGCTAAGGAACATTGTGTAGATGGTTAGACTGCTAGATTCTCAAGACAATTAGTAAACAAAAGCTTTGTTAAGCAGCAGCTAAGGTTGGTGCAACAATGGAGTTCTTCCAAACCTAGACAATCTCATTCTATAGAACAATTCTTCTACCTCAATGGTATGAAAATCTGGAAATGAACAGCAAGCATTTCACTCTTGCCCACCGCCTCCCACCATCTGCTGACAACTACTGTACTTAGGCTAAGATTCTCACCAGTGACTGGTGATTTTTGGGTGCCCAACTTGAGATCCCCTGTAAGGAACCTGATCTTCAGAGAGCAGATGCTCAGCACTCTCTCATTATCAGGGCTCTTTAATGTATCTAAAGTTGGGCACCCAAAATCACCAGTCTTGCTCTTAGATATCCTCTGTTCTGCTACATTGAGGGTAGGACCTTGGCAGAGTGCATGGTGCTCAGAGCAACATTAACTCACTATCAGTTTTCTGATAGTAACTGCCTTTGATTTTTTGAGTATAGCGTTTGCAGTAGTTTGGCTTAGACCCTACTCCTCACACATTTGTTCAGACCATACACCCCCTTTTTGGAGCTGGAGAATCTTTTGTTAGTGTTTCCCAAAGTCCAGAGGACATGCACTGATCTTTTGGTTGTCTTCCAGAGTCTCACCTTTCTTTTTATTTTTTTAAGTAAATCTTTCAGTTATAATTGCAAAGAAACCTTGAAAACATGATCTGTGTGTAACCAATGCAGTGCTTGTCTTCCTGAGTTTGCAGAGAGCCTGAAACAATAGCTGAGGAATAAACTACTCCATTCAATACAATGGGTGTTAACTTAGATGATAATGATCAAACTTTGCACACCAACATTGTTAACTATTTCACTGCTCAAAGGACATAGCAAAGGAGAAGAAATGGGTTATTCTAGAAGGAAGTTGATAAGCTGGAGAGAGTTCAAAGAAGCCCCACAAGAATGATTAAAGGACTGGGAAACATACCTTATAGTGACAGACTGAAGAAGCTCAATCTATTTATCTCAACAAAGAGAAAGTTAAAGGGTGACTTCATACCCTTTTTAAGTACCTACATGGGGAACAAAATTTTGATAATGGGCTCCTCACTCTAACAGACAAAAGGTTTATCAAGATCCAATGGCTGGAAGTTGAAGCTAAACAAATTCAGACTAGACATAAGGTGCAAATTTTTAACAGTGAGGGTAATTAACCGTTGGAACAATTTACTAAGGGTTGTTATAGATTCTCCATCACTGGTCATTTTTTTAAAAACCTTGGATTTTTAAAAAATCTGCTTAGTTCAAACAGGAATTAATGAATTTCTTTGGTTATATAGGTCAGACTAGGTGATCACAGTGGTCGCTTCTGGCTTTATGATAGATGAATTAGGAAGATGAACACAATCTACTGTGAGGGTACACCCAGACTACCCGCCGTATCAGTGGGTAGCGATTGATTTATCGGGGATCGATATATTGCGTCTCGTTAAGACGCGATATATCGCTCCCCGTCGATTCCAGAACTCCGCCAGAGCGAGCGGCGGTAGCAGAGTCGACGGGGGAGCCGCGGCCATCGATCCCGCACCATGTGGACCCCAGGTAAATCGATCTAAGATCGATCGACCCTCCCCCCCCAGTGTAGACCAGCCCTTAGTGACTAATTATTTAAAAACAGGGCAGACTGAAGCAGAGTGATCTTGGGCCTGGTCAACACTATGACTGTAATTCGGATTTATCAGCGTTAAATCGAATTAAACCTGCACCAGTCCACACAACGAAGCCATTTATTTAGAAATAAAGGGCTCTTAAAATAGATTTCTGTATTCCACCCCGACGAGCGGAGTAGCACCAAAATCGATATTGTCATTTCGAATTAGGGTTAGTATAGCCGCAATTCGATGGTATTGGCCTCCGGGAGCTATCCCACAGTGCACCATTGTGACCGCTCTGGACAGCAATCTGAACTCGGATGCACTGGCCAGGTAAACAGGAAAAGCCCCGCGAACATTTGAATTTTATTTCCTGTTTGCCCAGCGTGGAGAGCACAGGTGATCACAGATAGCTCATCAGCACAGGTAACCATGCAGGCCGACAATCGAAAAAGAGCACCAGCATGGACCGTACGGGAGGTACTGGATCTGATTGCTATATGGGGAGAGGATTCAGTGCTAGCAGAACTTCGTTCGAAAAGACGAAATGCCAAAACTTTTGAAAAAAACTCCAAGGGCATGATGGAGAGAGGCCACAATAGGGACTCAGATCAGTGCCGCGTGAAAGTCAAGGAGCTCAGACAAGCCTATCAAAAAAACAAAGGAGGCAAATGGTCACTCCGGGTCAGAGCCGCGGACATGCCGCTTCTACGCCGAACCGCATGCAGTTCTAGAGGGGGCCACCACCACTACCCCACCTCTGACCATGGATTCCGAGGCGGGGGTAATCTCATCAGCTACACCTGAGGATTCTGCGGACGGGGAAGAGGAGGAGGAGGAGGAGGAGGACGAGCTTGCGAAGAGCACCCAGCACTCCGTTCTCCCCAACAGCCAGGATCTTTTTCTCAGCCTGACTGAAGTACCCTCCCAACCCAGTATCCAAGACCATGACCCCAAGGAAGGGACCTCAGGTGAGTTTACCTTTTAAAATATAAAACTTGTTTTAAAAGCAAGCATTTTTAATTATTACTTTGCCCTGAGGACTTGGAATGCATTCGCGGCCAGTACAGCTACTGGAAAAGTCTGTTAATGTGTCTGGGGATGGAGCAGAAATCCTCCAGTGACATCTCCATGAAGCTCTCCTGGAGGTACTCCAAAAGCCTTGCCACAAGGTTTCTGAGCAGTGCAGCCTTATTCCGTCCTCCATGGTAGGACACTTGACCACGCCACGCTTGCAGCAAGTAATCTGGTATCATTGCATGACAAAGCCTGGCAGCGTACGGTCCTGGTGTTTGCTGGCATTCAAGCAACATCCGTTCTTTATCTCGCTGTGTAATCCTCAGGAGAGTGATATCGCTCATGGTAACCTGGTTGAAATACGGGAATTTAATTAAAGGGACAGAGGTGGCCGTTCCTACTGGGC